TTGCTCTGTCACGCCTCGCGCTGATTGGTCGACGCCGTTTGTACGATACGTACACCGTATCGATTGACCCAGCCGAGGTGGTATAAAAGAGGGGCGATTTTCGTCGTTCGACACAGTCGGCGGCCAGCTACCTCAAGGAAAACATCGAATATAGAAGAAAGAAAATATCTCAGTGGTTTTATTCTCCACCAACCCAGCACACAATTGTGCCTGTAGAGCACATAAATTATAAATTGCTTCATATTGTTACTGCATGCATTTGCCTCGCAGTGCAAGACTACACAAAATGCTATCGAAAGCTAAACCTAATCAGATCGGGCTTCTTAAAAAGCCGGATAGTAACTTCACTAATAGTGAAACAGAAACATTGGAGTTACTAGCGTCAACCCATTTTCCAGGGTCACACAAGACTTCAGCCCTGAATTCTTTCAGAGCCTTGTAATGAGGACTGGTAAACGGCTCCAAAGATAATAAGGCCAAACCTGGTGCAGTGGGCTGTTGACTCCTTTGAACCATTTAAATTAAGCAGGGAAGATGGAATAATTCCCATCCAACTACAGAGTTTTTTTTTTGTTTCTGTTTTATAGGATATATTGATATGACATTTTCAAGGTTATATTTATACGTAAGGCTGGTAAAAATTACTACGCTTTACCAAAGTCCTTTAGACCTATAAGCCTATCTTACTTTCTCCTTAAGACATTGGAAAAGGTTATAGATAGATATATAAGGGATGTAGCTCTAGCTACAAGGCCCATGCATTATAACCAGCATGCTTACCACAGAGGCAAATCTACGGAAACAGCCCTTATCAGTGTCATTGACAGGGTCGAAAAGGAAAGCACTGGAGGATAAAGAAATAGTTCTTTGTGCTTTTCTAGATATTAAGAGCACCTTCGACAGTAGCCCCACATCACTGCAGATTGGGGGCCTGACATCTAAAAATGTTGACCCCACAACTATCAGATGGTTAAAGTTGATGCTCTCAAACAGAAAGGTAAATATAGCGCTGTTTCAAACTTTGATTGAGGTTGCAACTACAAGAGGCTGCCCACAAGGAGGTGTTTTGACACCCTTCTTTGAACTCTTGCGGTTGACCAACTATTGTACAAAATGGCAGATCTATGCATTGACACACTGGGTTATGCTGGTGACCTTGTGATCATTGCGAGGGGCTTTTGCCAAAGTACTTTATAGTCAATGATACAAAGAGCCCTAAACACCATAAATAACTGGTGTAGGGATAACAATTTATCATTAATGCTGTTAAAACTGTTATAACACCCTTCACCAAAAAGAGACGGTTGGACAAATTAGTCCAACCAAAACTTTACGGGGGGTAAACGACGGGCTGTTTTCCGCAACTCCAAGTCTAAGCGCGTATTTTACGTGTGGGCAGGAATAATATGCTTATTCGAGCCACGATATCTCCCCGAAGAAGCTCAGCAGTCCCTTGATGTTGCAAGCAACTTCGGGGAGCGATCCCGGCGTGCCGAGATGTTTAGCCCTGTATGAAGCGACTTCTGGACATCAGCAACACGTGAGCCGCCGTTTCTTCCTTTCCCATGCATGCCCTGCACAGGCGGCTGTCAGTAACACCTATGGTGAACAAATGTTTGTTAAAAGAGCCATGTCCTGTGATAGCACTTGTAACTATCCTGATCTGTGGCTTGTTCAGTCTCATTAGAACCTTGGTTAGACAACTGTTTATTTCAGGTAGGGCCTCCCTAGCTTGTCTACAGTCTAGAAATTTTTTCCAAAGCTGAGCGTGTAAATTATTGAAGTATCTACGTACCAGTGAAAGAATGTAGCCAAAGGGGATTGGTATTATTGGTTCCGGCCCTATAGTTGCTAGGGCCGATCCCCTTCTGGCCAGTTCATCTGCTGCACCGTTGCCTCTAGATCCACTGTGTCCCTTGATCCATTGCAGAGTCACATTGTTGTGCTTACATACCTCATTCAATCGTTGATGGCACTCGTATATCAGTCCCGAGTTCGTCACATTGCAACTCACAGCTTGTAGTACCGCCATACCGTCGATCAGTATTCTGATGGAGAAGTCTTTCACCTTCCTAGCATCTTTTGCTATGGCCGCTTGGATGATACCCATGCAATCAGCCTGGAAGACTGTGTTGTGGGTAGCCAGCGGTGTGCATATGTGGATATTAAGGTCTTCAGAGAAAGCCCCAGATCCCACACCTTCATTTGTCTTAGAGCCATCTGTGAAAACTTTGAGCTCTCTTGGACCCAATCCTTCCAGATGGTCAGTTTCCTTCAATTGTATCCTGTACTTCTTATCGAATACAAATTGTTTTGGAATCCTATCATACTTGTCTTGTAAGATAGGAATTTTTGAGTAAATTCTATCGATTATATCTGTTTGGGGGACTCTACTCTTACTTAAAAGATTTAGGGTCTTGAGTCTAATGGCAGCTAAAGTTGCTTCTTGTTGTATATGTAGATGAAGCGGTGTTAGCTCCAGCATAGCCTCCAAAGCTGCTGTTGGTGTAGTCCTTATGCAGCCCGTGGCAGCCATACAAGCTAATCTCTGGTAACGCTGAATCTTTTGTATAGTGGTGGCTTCAATCATCAGAGCAAGTTTTGCATGGGGATATATTCCAGAATGATGGACAATTGTCAAGGTTATATTTATACGTAAGGCTGGTAAAGATTACTACGCTTTACCAAAGTCCTTTAGACCTCTAAGCCTATCTTACTTTCTCCTTAAGACATTGGAAAAGGTTATAGATAGATATATAAGGGATGTAGCTCTAGCTACAAGGCCCATGCATTATAACCAGCATGCTTACCACAGAGGCAAAACTACGGAAACAGCCCTGATCAGTGTCATTGACAGGGTCGAAAAAGCACTGGAGGATAAATAAATAGCTCCTTGTGCCTTTCTAGATATTAAGGGTGCCTTCGACAGTAGCCCCACATCACTGCTGATTGGGGACCTGACATCTAAAAATGTTGACCCCACAACTATCAGATGGGTAAAGTTGATGTTGTGAAATTTCAATCGGCGCTCACGTTAGCAACGTGGCATATGTTGCTATGGTGAGAGTTCCACGTTAGTTCACATAAGGCAAAAATTGCTTTAGGTGCGTGCAGTCGTTTGGTCGGGAACAACTGGGGCTTGCATCCCAGTATGGTCCTATGGCTGTACAGCAGTATAGTGAGGCCGATTCTCACCTATGCCTCTATTGTCTGGTGTAACAAGGCCAACCAAAAGACGACTGCAGACAGACTAAATAGTCTACAAAGGATTGCCTGCTTAATGGCAACTGGAGCTATGCGATCATTGCCTGGAGCGGCTCTTAATGCACTTCTATGGCTAACGCCCCTTGATCTTTATCTTGAAAAGGAGGCGTGGGCTAGTTTGTATAGGATTTACGCCCAGGTCGGTCTGAGCTTGCTCTCCTACAGATCGAGATCCATGCTCGACTCAATTAAGGAATCACCGGTCTTATGCATGATCTCAGATATCATGCGTCCACTATACACTTTTGATAAAAATTATATAGTGGAATTACCCTCCAGAGAAGACTGGCTGAATGGCCAGGTTATCTGTGAGGTCAGTAGCTTCATATGGTATACCGATGGGTCTAAAATGAGCCTCGACGTAGGCTTTGGAATTTACGGAGAACGCCCAAATTCATGCTAAGTTTGAATTTGGGTAGATACATCTCTATCTTTCAGGCAGAAATTTTCGCCATACTTCGGTGTGCATAAACCAATCTGCAAAAACACTATGTCAACCATATAATTTACATAAACTCTGATAGTCAAGCAGCACTGCTAGTGTTGAGGTCAAACTTAGTGAACTCAAAGCTAGTTGGAGACTGCGTGAACAGTTTAAACGCCCTGAGATGTAACGACAGGGTCGGTTTAAGATGGATCCCGGGTCATGAGGGTATTGTAGGGAACGAATTTGGCGATAAACTTGCATGGAATGGCAAGTGCACACAATTTGGACCTGAGCCGTTTTGTGGAATCTCAAGAAGCCTAGCCCGATGGACCCTTGAAACTCTTTATCACAATAAATCACTTAAGATCTGGTCTGACACACCAGGCTTAAAACATTCTAAAACCTTAATCCAGGCCTTTGATCGTAAATTCGCTTTAGATGCCCTGGGATTAATTAAAAATAAATTGCGCATTCTGGCAAGAGCCCTAACTGGACACAGTCATATTAAAAAGCACATGTCCATCCTGGGACTAAGCAACTCAAGGATATGTCGGTTCTGTTCCATAACGGAAGAAACGCCTCTACACATCCTGACTGATTGCGGACCCTTATTGCACAAACGTAACACTCATCTATGTACTCCGCCCAAAAGAAGTGAAATTGTTCACAGCTTTGCAACTCCTTCTATTCATTGAAGTCATGGGGCTTAGCCGTGAACTATAGCCATAGCAGCAATCACAATAGATCTTCTAGGTCGCAGTGATACTGGTCTCTTTCCCTAGGCCTGCATAGCTGCTCACACATAATAAAAAATAATGTGTATAGAATTAATTTTTTACTTCTTTTTATTAAATTAGAATAAATATTAACGATAAACAAAACAATCACTGATCAGTGATCATCAGAAAATAATTAAACTATTTTTAGTTCTAAGTGATTTGTCACTATGCCGCTTACATATTACCAATGTATTTTTACTACTACTTCAACAAAAATTTTATCATTTATCATATGGTATCAGCACCATCTTACTGACAAAAACACATAATAATAAGAAAATTTTATTTTTTTCTTTACATGTATAGCAGTATATTTTTAATAGGCTATAACATAGAGCAACACGGGCAACTGGCAAACTTAAGGGAAGTAACAATAGCGTTTCACACCAATAAAAATTACAGGCTGCTATGCTGTGCTAGGACAAAACAGGGCCTGTGTTGGTAAACAAAAGGACATTAACCAATAATCGTACATAAAAATAAAGTATCAGTATTCTTTAAAGATATCATAGACATTTTAAAAAGTTTACCTGTCTTTCTTGCCATATCAATATACATTGATCCTCACTGTAAGTATATGAAACCATTGATGAAGGAATTGTTGAATTCACACTGCATTTACAAAGTTTATGAAATGTATTAACATGTTTAGGGTACTTTAACTTTTTTTTAGATATGCTTGTGATTGGGTGTAAGGTTTTAGCTGAAGTTGTTTTAAAAGAATCAATATCTTTCTTCAATATATTATCTAGTTTTTCCAATTTATCTTTAGTACAGTGTGCAACATCACTTGTATCACTTTCTGATGATGATTCGGGTATTTCAGGTTCATCAGATAAATTATCTGAAGCTTTATTATTTTTTAAAGTATCGTGTTTCAAATGATGTTTTCCTTTAACTTGCCACGCAAAACGAGCCTTTTTAAGAGGGCGTTCGGAATCCATTGTTTGGTCGCCATTTTCCTGTCTGTAGTCTGAAGAATTCCCTGATCCTGAAGATCCAGGAGTATTCATATTGTAAATTTATAATACATTGATTTTGACACTCATTAGTAAACAAACATTGACATAGTTAATTACTCAAAACATATGATTGACTGACAAGTAGCTAATTAGAAAATTAAAATATTTGTAAACGTTTAGTCACACAATATAATTACAGTTGATTTATTTCAATGCAAGACACAACGGAAAATTTCGTTTTTAATTATTTAAATAATTCTACAAAATTATTTCTAATAAATATTGCTTTTTATGTATGTACTTGAACTAAACATCCAGGGTTGCCACTTCCAATTGCTTTGTCTATAAAAATAAAAAATTCAAAAGTACTCTGTGCACTTGCCAACTTGCCACTATAAAATTCTTAGAGCATACATTACAGTAATGTATGCTCTAAGATAAAAATATACTATAGAGCTAAATCGTATTCATTATATACTCTTTGACAAGAGCCCAAAGCACAAACTATAAAGTATGGAGTGTAGAAGTAAGGCGTAGAGAGCGAAGTAAGGAGTACCAACTCCTATGGTAGAATAGTTGAAAAAGTGGTCATCTATAAGCAGTAAATAACAGCTCAAAAACTCTCCACTACAGCGCTGGAGTAGCTACTGGGATGAAATGAACTTAGCAGTTGTCGCCGGTTTAAGTGTGCTGCTAAACTGATCAGTAGCTCTAAAATCTAAAATAATTTTATTTAGTTAATATAACCTCGAAAAAGTCGTCTATCCCACTAATATTTTTCGGTGCGTTCTTTAAAATTTACCCCGTAGCTATAGTGGCGCCACCCTAATTTAAAGGTTTTTATGGACACTTTTTAATACACAGTCTGTAATCCTTACTTCTACACTCCATACTTATAAGAGTACCTACTAGCGTACATAAAGATTATTCAATGATTATTGACTAGGCATGGGTAATCCACTCTTGCCCTTTAACAAATCGTATTATTCAATTTGAATATTTTAATATTATTGTTTTTTTTATTGATATCTATGTGAATGTGCTCTGTAAGGAAGTCAGCATTCAGTATTACACGGTGATATGCGATTATTGAAGGATTTAGTTTGCTTAGATTTATAAATATATTGTAATATCTATGATTATAGAGCAACACTGGAGGGGAGTAGCCATTGTGTTATTTTCCGATACCAAACTGTTTGTAATTTTTTGCGTGGAGAAAATTACGCCACGCACACTTTCTCACATTACCACAAAAAAATAATCATTTGTGACTACGAAACCGACACATTACATTCTATGTCATAACAGTCTGTAGCTATACTCGACGTCTCTTGAAACACAGAAAAGTCAGTCATATTATCAGAATGAAGCATGATATTGTTCTATATGAAGCTGTGTTACGAAATTATTAACACGGAGGAATACAGATCCGATCGCCGCGAGCACTCAGAAGAAATGGGACGCCTTGCACTTAGTTTAGGCGTTTTTACACCTCCGCCGCACGATTAGAATGTGGGGCCACGCGCGCTTCGTTTTTAAGAAATCAAGAATACAAAAATTCCTTTTGCTGATATTTTACAACCAATCACATATTAGATAATACTGAGATTTTTTTTCGCTGTTATAATTTCAAACTAAATATTTTAATACAGACACTTTGATTAATGAAAAATTTTGGAAATTTTGTTAATTTTTAGAATATAAGGAATCACATTTTTGCAATAAATTATTCTACTCCTATTCTTTTTACTCATTCTACTCGATTCTATAAGTTACAAGTTTTCTATTTGAAACTTCACAATCTGTAAAGTGGTAACTCAAAACCTGCACAGCAGTGACCTCGTAAGGTTTGCAAAGTGGTGACCTCCGAACGGAGAACTCTGAAGAAGAAGAACAAGTAGAAATAACCCAGGAAGAAAATCGTTGGACTAGACATAATGCAAGATTTAAAGAACATCCGCGAAAACACCACCAGCCAGTCCACCGAGGTGTCAAGCACTGCGTTTTCAATGCGCATGCCACTATTCCGGCATGAAAATCCACATATCTGGTACATGACTTTCGAAGCTACCACCGACTACCTCAAAGACACAGCTAGGTCAGATGGCGTTCGTCAAGCGAGAGAAAGCTGCGATATCGAACAAATCTCCGGCATCTTCTTCACTAAAGAGCAGTAGTACCACGCCATCAAAGAATGTCTCATATCAGTCTAGGAAGAGAGCGAGGGCCGCCAGTTTCAAAAGCTTCTCGCTAAAATAGATCTTTTCAACCAGAAGCCAACACAACCATGCTATGACGCATGCGAAACCTTGCAAGGGACAAGATATTAGACTCGACACTGTGTAGATACAGACAAAGCTACTTCCAGCCCACGTTCGCTCAGTCCTTACCGTAAGTGAGAACTTCAACAGCGAGATGATTCGAGCTTCGAGAGAAGAACTCGCATTAGTAACTGACAATACGCTGGAACAAGCTCAAGAAGTCGCAGTCATCTCGTCACAACCACCTTCTACACTACCACCATCTCTAGCTTCAGCCACAATAACTCAGTCTGATACACAGTTCCTTATCGACTGGATACCATCACCGTAAGCTGATTGAGGAAGATTGACATGTGACATACCGCGAAATTCAGGCAACTTTAGACATTGGCATGAGTCAAATACTAATAATCTTGCATGAACAATTAGGTGTAAAAAGTTGTTTTCCCGGTGGATACCGCATTCGCTCTGTGAAGAGCAAAAAGCGGCTCGCGTTACTTGGTGCGTCAGAACTCTCGAAAGATTCCACGCAGGATCCTCAAATGCTGTATACAACATCGTATCAGGTGACGAATCCTGGATATACGCGCACGAACCCGAAACAAAAAACCAGTCACGAGTTTGGGTGTTCGAAAATGAGTTAAAGCCAACAAAAATTGTTCGTTCACGGAGTGTTGCAAAAAATGGTTTGTCTCCAAAACCGGCCATGTTACGACTATTCCTCTTGAGGGACAAAGAACGGTTAATGCAGAATGGTATGCTAGCATTTGTTTGCCACAGGTCGTTTCTGAACTCCGTAAAGAGAACTGCAACCGCCGCATCATCCTTCATCACGACAATTCGAGTTCTCACACCGCACACAGAACAAAAAGAGTTTTTAGAGCAAGAAAACATAGAATTATTAGACCATCCGCCATACAGCTCCGACCTAAGCCCTAATGATTTCTATACTTTCCCTAAAATAAAGAATAAATTGCGTGGACAGAGATTTTCATCACCTGAAGAAGCTGTGGACGCCTACAAAATGGCCATTTTGGGGACTCCAACTTCCGAATGGAATGGTTGCTTCAATTATTGGTTCCATCGTATGGAAAAATGTGTCAAATTTCGCGGAGAATACTTCGAAAAGCAATAAATATATTTTTAAATAGTAATGTTGTGTCACTTCCTTGATTCCCGAAATTTTCAGTGCCGCCCTCGTAGCATCCCGTCAGGGTAAATTCTGTGGTTAGCATTGGTGTCGTGTTCCTGTCGCTATCTCTGTCTAGAGCACAGTCGGTTACAAAAGTTTTCGTTGTTATTGTTGTTAATTGTTATTATTCCGGGGTATCTATATAGTGTTCTCATCTGGTTGGGTTCCATAAATATATAATTGCGAACGAAAATGATAAATATACATAAATAACAATAAAATAAAATAAATATATAAAAAATACATAAATAAATAAAAGCCCAACAAGATGGAAGCCCTCGGCGGGGGAGATCAAACGCCCGAGGGTTAGGGGGAAAGGGAAAGAAACTGGCGGACAATGCGGGCAGTATCGAGGAGCACCGCCTTCTGCATTTGAGCCCGGAGCAGTCCGTTACGGAGTCCCAGTCGCTTAGAGACCCGAGAGGCTGACTGGGTTAGCCCGTTTGCAGAAACTACAGGTATAATTTCGGTCGAAAGCTCCATGGTTCAGGTCCAGATATTTTGTTCGCTTATCTGTTTCGGCTTTCACGAGGTTCTCGTCATACGGAATGGTAATGTCTACCAAAAATATCCTTGACTTTGCCCGGTCCATCAGCACAATATCAGGCTTATTCGCAAGAATAGTCCTGTCTGTGATGATGGCCCGGTCCCAGTAGAGCCTGGCGCGGTCATTTTCGAGCACGGGTTCCGGCAAGTACTTGTAATACGGCAGTTTCCGGTCCACGAGACCGTATTTCAGAGCGAGCTCCTGGTGTAGAATTCTGGCTACTAGGCTGTGCCTGTGCAAGTACTCAGAGTTAGAAAGCGCCGAACACCCGGAGATGACATGCCTAAGTGACTCACCGGGATGGCGACAAGCTCGACAGATGTCGACGGTGCCATCCTTTAGGATGTATCTCCGATAGTTGTTGGTCTTAATAACCTGATCCTGTATCGCACAGACTCAGTTTCCCCGAAGAGGTCACCGAAACGTAGCCAGTTGAGGGAGGCGACTGTGTATACGAAAGGTTCATGTAGAGTTGTAGAGCCTTGTAGAACCTCCCATGGAGCTGCTTCTCCTTCCATACAGTCTCCTGGTCGGAAATGCTCTGTAATGCCGGTTCTTGCCATTGCTCGTTGGCCAAGGATAGAGGGGTAAGCCCTTTATCACAAAAAATGACGTCCCTATAGAATGGATCATCCGATCTCGTCAAAAATTAGTTACGGAGGCTGCACACTTCGCGATTATGTATGGTAAGCGCGCTTAACAAGCCACGCCCACCACATTTCCGCGGCAAGTACAGCCTCATAATCGAAGATCTCGGGTGATGCATCCTATGGGACGTCATAGTAGTGCGGACTTTTCTATCCAGGGCATTAAGTTCAGTCTGAGTCCACCTAAGTATGCCAAAGGTATACATGAGTACAGGCATGACCCAACCGTTATATGCTTGTGTCTTATTCACACCGGACAAAAGGCTGTTAAGCACTTTGGTCAAGCGTGCATAAAACACGTCGCAAACAGACTGTTTCATACCAGTCTCATCGATACCGATATTCTGTGACATACCCAGGTATCGGTATGTTTCAGCCTCGGAAAGGGCCCTTAAGTTGACGGGCATAGATAAGTCTATGCCCTCAGAGTTAGCAACCCTTCCCCTTTCAACATGGAGGACCGCACACTTATCCGTTACCAGCTCCAGCTCCAAGATGGCTCCAGCTCAGCAAAAAGACGATGCATCCTAGCCCGATACGCCAAACCTCCAACTTCTCCCCCTTTCGTGCTAAAATACGCCCGCAATGCGTTGGTATTCATTTCGATTGTCCATCGCATGCGGCGTACTCCACCAGTGGCGGGTGCCGATTGCTGGGCCCGCGAAGACCCTGCCGAAACCAAGCCAGCTGGTGGGGATGATGGATGCGAGGGGCTGATGGCTGGTAGTGCAGCACCTCTCACTCGGCTGGCGGTTTGCATGCTGTCGCGTCCAGCGCCAGCTCCAGACGCGCCCTGGCGACCTCCAGACAGCGGCCCTTTGCTCATTCTTCCATATTCCATCATCCATTGTGTTGAGTGTCATTTAACGGGAGACGCCCAGACACGGCGCCGTTTCATGTTGAGGCCATGTGCACAAGCGGGCCTTTGCATCTTCAATTTTTGCCGAGACATGGCACTAACACCTCTTGGCAAGGTGCTGACTGACTGCGCTGACGTAGCGTTTTTGTCACATAGCCGTTACGTCAGCGGGCGATTGGGTCGTAACTTCCCTACGCCTTTTGTATTATTATTATTGTTAATTTTCTTGTTTAGTGCTAAGTTTGTTTTATTTGTGTTATTTGCATGTGTCAGTTGACACATTATTCGCCAAATATGCCACTAAAACATAATAGTGTGTTAAATCGTCATGCGCGAAATTTTTTTAATTGAACGCATTATACATATCAAAAAAGAAAAAGAAGAAAGCGTAAAAGAAGTAGAAAAAGTTTATTTAAGAGGTGAGGTTGTTCCCTCATCGGATGAAAATGCTACGGCTGAGGATGCGGCGCCACAAATTGCAGAGCAACCCGCAAACGTGGATGCTGCCGATTATACCCCAGTTGTGGTTGATTCAAACGATGATGGAACAGTCACCCAGGAACTGGAATTAGAGCATATGAGGAGTACATTGGAAGAGGCGATTGTGGAAACGCGCAGTACGCCTCTCGAAAATCGACCACGACTTCCCCGCATAGCCCTATGCAAGCGGAATCGCGCTGTTGTGAGGGCTCTGAACCCAATGCTGGTGACCTATTTGCAAGCCAGCCGGGACCTTTGCGAGACGAACTCAATTCTTTTTGGCGCCGCACTGGCAGTATGCCGTATTATTGGCGCCTAACTTTCCACGGCAGGACGCGCTACTGGACAAAGTAGCGCTATCCCAGCCTGGAGAATAAGAATTGAAGAACGTATCACAAAGGCTAGGGTCCTCATCGGCAGACTGATATGCTTCGGGTCAGGCAATAACAGGCCAAGGATTGTGCGCACCGTCAGGATGGCATTTGCTGGGCCAAATGTTAGTTTGTCCCAGCCTGATATAATGCAAAAACTGACGGAGCGCATATACGACCTGAAGCAGAGAATCGCTGCTTGGGGAAAGCGGATTCGGCGATATACCGAGAGGTCGACATGGTTCAACCAGAATCGTCTCTTCCAGAGTGATCAGAAGAGGCTCTATAAATCATTGGAGCGACCAATGGTAAGTGGAACGGGCCCAGCACCGAACCAGGCCAACACTGTCGCATTCTGGCGCGGCCTGTGGTCAGAGCCTGTAAACCACAGCAAGGGCCCTTGGACGGAAGCTGTGGCGAGTCAGTGTGCGAGTATTACGCCCATGGACCCCGTCATCATAACGCCGGATGACGTAGCTGAGGCGGTCCGTAGAACCCCGAACTGGAAAATTCCGGGACTCGACGGGCTGCATCACTACTGGCTGAAGGGCTTCATGGTGTGTCACACTGTGCTCGCCCGTCAGTTTCAAGAGGCTCTCAACCAGAAATCGATCCCTAGCCTCTTCACTACTGGGATCACTTATTTGGTTCCTAAAGACCACGTTACCACAGACCTGAGCAAATACCGCCCCATCACGTGTCTACCGACCATATACAAGACACTAGCATCCATTTTGAGCGCGAGAATCACTCGTCACCTGAACTTAAATCAGGTGATGTCGCGTGCTCAAAATGGATGTCGGGGCGGTGGTCGTGGAACCAAGGAACCACTCCTCATTGACGCGGTCATAGGCAAAGTGGTGAAACGCAACCGTCGGAACTTCTCCGCCGCCTGGATAGACCACAGAAAGGCATTCGACTCGGTTCCCCATACATGGCTTAAGAGGGTCCTCGAGCTGTACAAGTTTGACTGTACAGTTAGAGACTTCCTCGAGCAATGTATGGTACGATCCTTTGTTATCTGGGTGAGCGGATGACGGCTGCGGAAAGCCGCATAAGGATAAGAAGGGGTATCTTCCAGGGCGATTGTGTGAGTCCAATCTGTTTCTGCCTCTCTTTGAACCCTCTCTGTACATTACTAGAGGGCTCCGAGGAGGAGGGGATTTCAGCTTCGGAAAGGAGGTACAAAAGTGACCCACATTTTCTATATGGATGAACTCAAGTTATTCGCCTCCAGTCGCTCCCATCTTATGGAATTGCTAAATATCAGTTGAATTTGAGTTCTATTGGTGGAGCGAGATAAGTGTCTCTCCTTTGAGGGGGGGTTGCTACTTGAGGGCTGACTTATCTTGCGTGGAAATTGGTATTGATCGGTATCGATGAGACTGGTATGAAACAGTCTGTTTGCGACGTATTTTATGCACGGTTGACCAAAGTGCTTAATTGCCTTTTTTCCGGTGTGAATAAGACACAAGCATATAAAGGTTAGGTCATGCCTGTACTCATGTATACCTTTGGCATACTTAGGTGGACTCAGACTGAACTTAATGCCCTGGATAGAAAAGTCCGCACTACTATGACGTCCCATAGGATGCATCACCCGAGATCTTCGATTATGAGGCTGTACTTGCCGCGGAAATGTGGTGGGCGTGGCTTGTTAAGCGCGCTTACCATGCATAATCGCGAAGTGTGCAGCCTCCGTAACTACTTTCTGACGAGATCGGATGATCCATTCTATAGGGACGTCATTTTTTGTGATAAAGGGCTTACTGGAAGGAGAAGAGTCGGGAGGTGCTCGTCTCACTGGCTACTTTATCGGGGTTAGTAGTTAACATCGGGATCGGTGACGTGAATCTGTCGAGCTTGTCGCCATCCCGGTGAGTCACTTAGGCATGTCATCTCCCGGTGTTCGGCGCTTTCTAACTCTGAGTACTTGCACAGGCACAGCCTAGTAGCCAGAATTTTACACCAGGAGCTCGCTCTGAAATACGGTCTCGTGGACCGGAAACTGCCGTATTACAAGTGCTTGCCGGAACCCGTGCTCGTAAGTGACCGCGCCAGGCTCTACTGGGACCGGGCCATCATCATAAACAGGACTATTCTTGCGAATAAGCCTGATATTGTGCTGATGGACCGGGCAAAGTCAAGGATATTTTTGGTAGACATTACCATTCCGTATGACGAGAACTTCGTGAAAGCCGAAACAGATAAGCGACCAAAATATCTGGACCTGGCTCACGAGGTGACCGACATGTGGGGTGAGCTTTCGACCGAAATTGTACCTGTAGTTTCTGCAAACGGGCTAATCCCAGTCACTCTCGTTTAAGCTCCGTGACGGACTGCTCCGGGCTCAAATGCAGAAGGCGGTGCTCCTCGATACTGCCCACATTCTCCGCCGGTTTCTTTCCCCCTAACCTTCGGCTGTTTGGTCTCCCCTGCTGAGGGCTTCCATCTGGTTGGGCTTTTATTTATTTATGTATTTTTTATATATTTATTTTATTTTATTGTTATTTATGTATATTTAACATTTTCGTTCGCAATGATATGTTTATGGAACCCAACCAGATGAAAACATTATATAGATACCCCGGAATAATAACAATTAACAACAATAACAACGAAAACTTTTGTAACCGACTGTGCTCTAGACAGAGATAGCGACAGGAACACGACACCAATGCTAACCACAGAATTTACCCTGACGGGATGCTACGAGGGCGGCACTGAAAATTTCGGGAATCAAGGAAGTGACACAACATTACTATTTAAAAATGTATTTATTGCTTTTCGAAGTATTCTCCGCGAAATTTGACACATTTTTCCATACGGTGGAACCAATCATTGAAGCAACCATTCCATTCGGAAGTTGGAGTCTCCAAAAAGGCCGTTTTGTAGGCGTCCACAGCTTCTTCAGGTGATGAAAATCTCTGTCCACGCAATTTATTCTTTATTTTAGGGAAAGTATAGAAATCGTTAGGGCTTAGGTCGGAGCTGTATGGCGGTTGGTCTAATAATTCTATGTTTTCTTGCTCTAAAAACTGTTTTGTTCTGTGTGCGGTGTGAGAACTCGAATTGTCGTGATGAAGGATGATGCGGCGGTTGCAGTTCTCTTTACGGAGTTCAGAAATGACCTGTGGCAAACCAATGCTAGCATACCATTCTGCATTAACAGTTCTTTGTCCCTCAAGAGGAATAGTCGTAACATGGCCGGTTTTGGAGACAAACCTTCACTTTTTTGCAACACTCCGTGAACGAACAATTTTTGTTGGCTTTAACTCATTTTCGAACACCCAAACTCGTGACTGGTTTTTTTTTCGGGTTCGTACGCGTATATCCAGGATTCGTCACCTGATACGATGTTGTATACAGCATTTGAGGATCCTGTGTGGAATCTTTCGAGAGTTCTGACGCACCAAGTAACGCGAGCCGCTTTTTGCTCCTCACAGAGCGAATGCGGTATCCATCGGGAAAACAACTTTTTTACACCTAATTGTTCATGTAAGATTATTTGTATTTGACTCATGCCAATGTCTAAAGTTGCCTGAGTTTCGCGGTATGTCACATGTCGATCTTCCTCAATCAGCTTACGGTGATGGTATCCGGTCGATAAGGAACTGTGTATCAGACTGAGTTATTGTGGCTGAAGCTAGAGATGGTGGTAGTAAAGGTGGCTGTGACGAGATGACTGCGACTTCTTGATCTTGTTCCAGCGTATTGTCAGCTACTAATGCGAGTTCTTTTAAAATCATCTCGCTGTTGAAGCTCTCACTTACGGTAAGGACTGAGCGAACGTGGTCTGGAAGTAGCTTTGTCTGTATATACGCAGTGTCGAGTCTAATATCTTGTCCCTTGCAAGGTTTCTCATGCGTCATAGTGGTTTTGTTGGCTTCTTGTTGACATAATATCAGCGATGCCCAACTGCTTAAATAAATTTGAATAGCACTAGAACTATTAGTACCTCTGGGTAATGAGGCGTATCTAAGGCCAATTCGAAAAAAAAGTGAGAAATATACAATTTAGTCTACAGATTTTAATAAAAATCATTAGCTTAGTGTAGCTCTAAGTATGAACGAAAAATTGTAGTATTTGCCGTAAAAAAAGAAAAATTAAACATTTCTGAAAACCTTGCTCGTAGACCTTATTTTACTATGGTAGGGTAATAAAGCCTACTTTAAAGCTTTAAAGAACTCAAATAATCAAACTATAAGAAATATGTTTAATATTTGTGATCAATATTACATAAATTTCCTCGCCTAACAGCACTTAAAGTCATAAGTATAATGATGAACAAACTCACAAACAAACGCACTCCTAGTGATTATCGTCAGTGCGTCGGTTGTATCTCAAGTTGAGACTAGTGTTAGGTTGAGTTGAGAGTTTTGTTGATTGTTGAATTGAAGGTCCTCCCAATCGAATTTTTGTCACAGCAGCCAGTCTCCACGGAGACTAGCCTATCTTTAATATACTCTTTGATGCACTGTACAGAATTTTACTGTCCGAATGTATGCGCAAGCACAGGTGCACTCTCTACTCCCTCACAATTATCAAATCGAAATCCGACACGGTCTGCGGGAGCTTAGGCGCAGGTAATAGCTTCTAATGTCAAATAAAGCTTGCGATTTATTTGCATTTTTAACATTTTAAAAGTGATATAAAATAAATTTTAAGGCGAAAAAACTACACGCGAAGAAGGAATATAATGAGGCCTATGTTGAAATTTAGTAGGCCTTAATAACCGCCGACCAAGTATTTAAGAAAAACCACATTGAAAAAAAATTTTCGACGATACGTTATTCAAATCTTCAAGATTAACAAAGCATTTATTCACAAAGATAAAGATTACGATTTTAGATAGCTAAGTGTAATATTTCAAAACATATCTAAAATCTTTTTGGACTGATTTTTATTATTGGTAAATAATGCAACTCTGGTGGCAGGACCCGGGGTA